GACGCGGGGCTCGAACTCACGGACCGCGAGATCGTGACCTGGCTGAAGTCGGACGCTTAACCGACTGCGCCACCCAGGCACCCCTTTACTCTTAATACTATACTGTGCTCTAAGCCCAATTACTATATGAATCTGAGGGTGAATTTAACTTTTTCCCCTCTAAGGTCCCATTCTACAGCTAAATTTGATAGGAGAAATTTGGTAAGACTCTTTAGATAGAACTAGGCTTCTTGAGAATGCACTTTTTTATATTACTGGAAGAGATGTGAGAATGAATGGCCTTTAGGCTTTAATCTGGAGTGGACACATTCAGCCAAGGGAGGAAGTAATTGCTTTCCCAGGAATCCAAAGATAGTCCCTATACAGGCACTGTCCGAATAACTGATGAACAGGCACTGTCCGAATAACTGATGGAACAGACACAGTCCCGGCCCTCCATTTGCTTAGAGCTGTAAGAAAAGAGGGACAATATACACTTTAAATGATGATTAATAGAAACGTGATGAAAATGTAAGTTATTTGACAAGTTTCTAGGAAACATTATAAATAAATTATTAGTATTGTTGAATTTAGGATTGGATACTATAACCAACCATGGGTAGTCCTAGAAACTTTGGTAAAATATATTGCATATATTTTTAGCTTAATTTTTTAATTATGGATATTAATACCTGTTCATTATAGAAAATGTTTTTATAAGTACAGCATAATGTAAAGAGCAAGATTGTAACCTAGTATAACTATTATTTGCCTTTTGATTCCTGTCTTTTCTCTCTCTCATTTTTTTTAAACAGGCTACATATATCTATCATTTTCTTTTCTTTATGCTTATGGTTTCATTATATACATTAACATTTTTTCATATATATGTTAATATTTGCATAATAGTCAATTGTAGAATGTACCATAATTGACTTAACTAGATGCTTATTGTTGAGTATTTGAGTTGTTGTCAGGGTTTTAGTATGAGGAAAATGAATAAGTCATTGACTCCGGTCTCACTTTTCATATACTGGTGAGATGGTTAATGAAGTGTGGTGGTCATACATAATAGTTGCTGTATTTCTGTACCATTCTGTAGATGTGAGGGTGGATCACATTAGATCCTTTTTTTTTTTTCTCAAATCTTTTTTATTTTTTCTCCTTAGGATATTTATAATGCTCCTTTCTGAAAAGGAGCTGTTTTGTTTTTTAAAGATCCCCCCCCCTTTTTAATGTTTATTCATTTTGAGGGAGAGAGAGAGAGAGAGTGAGCGCACGTGCGAGATCCCATGTGCATGTAGGGGAGGGACAGAGATAGGAGACTGAGAATCCCAAGCAGACTGTGCTGTCAGCGTAGAGCCTAATGTGGGGCTCTATCTCACAAACTGTGAGATCATGACCTGAGCTGAAATCTATAGTTGGATGCTTAACTGAGTCACCCAGATGCCCTGGAAAGGAGTGTTTTTAAGGCTTTTTATCTATAGCACCAAATCGCTTTCCAGAGAGTGTGTTTTTACCAACAGTATGCAAGGGTGCTTTTCTTAGTGACTGCTGTAAAACAAACAAAAGAAAACAAAACAATAAAAACAGGAGCCCTTAAATTCTGTGCATGGACTGTGTAAGGTTTGAACTATTTTTATTGTAATTTTTTTAAATATAGACCAGTTATTTGGTTCATTTCTGATGAGTTTGTTTTTTCATGATGTAAAACAGGTGATTTGATGAAGACTGCTGCGGGAGAGTTTGCAGATGATCCCTGCTCTTCTGTGAAGCGTGGCAACATGGTTCGGGCAGCTCGAGCTTTGCTCTCTGCTGTTACCCGGCTGCTTATTTTGGCTGACATGGCAGATGTCTACAAATTACTTGTTCAGCTGAAAGTTGTAAGTACAGGCCTGTGTCTGTAATTTGTTCTCTCCATCACAGTGAGGCTGCTGCTAGCCATGCTTAATTCAGCATTCCTTAGAATTTGGTTTGGTTTTGACCTTCGTTTACCCAAGTGCACCAGCAATGTTTTCCTTTCGTTTCCATTTCCTTCTCTACTCTAGGTGTATCTCGTACCGATAGTGCTATGATTCTCTTTAGTCTTCATTCTGATGCAGAACATGTAGCAAAGATAATGTTTTGACTCCTTCTCTCTGCAGTAGTGATTAAGCATTTCCTTGTACCAGTAGAGTTCCAGAGTTGAGAAACCAAGATAGTTTAAATTGTATTGTTTTATTTTTATATATTTGTTTGTTTATTTATGTTTATTTTTGAGAGAGAGAGTGCAGACAGACAGAATCCAAAGCAGTCTCCAGGTTCTGAGCTGTCAGCACAGAGCCTGATGTGGGGCTCGAAATCACAAACCATGAGATCATGACTTAAGCTGAAGTGAGATGCCTTGAGCGCCACCCACATGCCCCTAAATTGTATTGTTTTAGATAGCACGGTATATTGCTCTTCTTCCCACTTCCCATAAAATTCCCATGTAGTAACTGCTCAAATGTTTGAGGGTCATGTAAACTGAAGAGGGAGTTTGGATTGCTGAGGAACTGTTAAAAGGAATAAAATGTTATAGATCTTTTTTATATACATATTTGTATTGTTTAGAATTTTTCTTATTTAGGAGTGTGTTTTATAGGTGGAAGATGGTATCTTGAAACTGAGGAATGCTGGCACTGAACAAGACTTAGGAATACAGTATAAAGCCCTGAAACCTGAAGTGGATAAGCTGAACATTATGGCAGCCAAAAGGCAACAGGTATAGTCATGATTTGGGGACATATTAAAATTGTTTATATTATTATCTTGTGGGAAAAAGTGATTTTAACCTGAGTTTTCTGAAGGTACAATTACCACCCTCTGACAGTATAGTTCCATTAAAACATTTAATTTGTGAAGTATCCTGTCACTATTGTGTTGTTAAGTTGCATTCATGTTATGCTTCTACTTTAGTTCTTGTGAAGATTGTGCTTTAAACTTTTTTAAAGTTTATTTGAGAGAGATAGAGAATGGGGGAGGATCTGAGAGAGAAGGGGAGAGAGAGAGAGCGAGAGAGAGAGAGAGAAAGAGAAAGAGAAAGAGAAACCCATTGCAGGGCTTGAACCCACAAACTGTGAGATCATGAGTTGAGCTGAAACCAAGAGTTGGATGCTTAACTGACTGAGCCACCCAAGGGCCCCTTAAAATTGTGCTTTAAATAACTTGGTGTCTGGACAGATGATAAGGACTTTGTTATGTGCCTTCAAGGATTAACTTCAGTTGGCATTGGAGTGTAATTCAGATTTTTAAAAACCATAAGCCAGTTGAAACGTATTGGAATTACTGGCATATCAGAAACTATCACTGCTCTGCCCCCATGTTTGGTCACTTTTCAAGTTATTTCTTATAAATCATTCTTAATAGTTTCCTTAGTGTTATGAATTTGTGTTGTGTGGCATGTGGATCAGTCGTCGTCGTCGTCTTCTTCTTCTTCTTCTTCTTCTTTTTAAGTTTATTTCTTTTTGAGGTGCAGAAGAGGGAGGTTCAGAGAGAGAGAGGGAGAGAGAGAATCCCATGCAGTCTATGCTCTCAGTTCAGAGCCCATCATGATCTCACCAACTGTGAGATCATATCCTGAGCCGAAATCACGAGTCGGATGCTTAACTGACTGAGCCACCTGTGTGCTCCTGGATCATTGTTCTTATTTTTCCAAGCTTTGCTATCATTTTGGTGTTTTGGCTTTTAAGGTGCTTTAAGTCTTTTCTATGGTCTTCCTGTTGAATGCAGTATGTGCTCTAGGGGAGATGCACGTGTCACCATTCAGTTTCTTAAAATTTCCATAGTTTTGATCAGGCTTGTGCTTTTTCATAAAGCTCTGAAAAGATAAATTCTTGTTATCATTTGCTTATACTTGTATCAGTTAGGATATTTCATGCTGCAGTTCAGAAAATCCAGCTCCAAAACTGCTTGAACAGTGGGGGATTTATTTTCTTACTAATCAGAAGTCCCAAATTAGGTGTGATTTTGAGGTAGCTAAGATAAAAGGTTTTGCAACTATCATCATGGATCCAGGTTCTTGACCTTTTCCAGCACTGCAGTGTTCACTGTCCCTGGTACTGGATGGCTGTAGAAGCTCTGGGCATGGTATTTGTACAGATCACTATGTCCAGCAAGCAAAAAAAAAAAAAAACCAAAAAACCAACAACAACAAAAAACAAAAAACTGTTTCTTCCATAGGTCTTTTTTAGAAGCAAATGATCTAGAAGCCCTTAACAGATTTGCCCTAAATCTTAATTTTGTAACATACCCATTCTTCACTGATTATGAGTGAGAAGAAATCAGTTGTTATGTCTGACTCTGTGACAAAGATCTCCCCTCTGGTCTGGGATGAGAGTATCTTTCTTCAGGACAGGGACACCCAAAAAGGGCTCTGACACGCGTAAGGAAATGGAGTCAGTACTGTAAATGTCCAATATATGCCAGTCTCAGCTTTGCATACTTCTTAGTAACTTTCAGTAGTATAATAGTATAAAATCTTTACCCCATAGGATTGAAAAGATTAAATTAAGTAATGTATGTAAAGTATTTAATATGATTATGGACCATATTTCAAGCTTAGGTTATGATCAGACTGAATTTGCACATATGAGATCCTGGTTTTACATTTCCATTACTTAATATTAGACATTATAATATACCTAGATTTGGTATATTGCCTAAGTAATTTAGTTCATGTAGACATAGTTTGTTTTTATCATTTATTCCTGTGTTGGCTTATGTCTCCATCAAATAAATCACAAATAAGTTTTTTTGTTTTTGTTGGGCCTCATTGATTCTAAAAACTTGTTTTGTAATTCCGTAAATATCCATGCTGGACCAATTATGTTTACAATTTATTTAATGTTTTTGATGTAAATTCTCATTTGTTTTTTTGTTTTTGTTTCGTTTTATTTTAAAAAATGTATGAACATTTTTAATTTATTAGTATTTTGAGAGAGAGAAAGAGAAAGAGAAGGAAGTGGGGAGGGGATTAAGGAGAGAGAGAATCCTAAGCAGGCTCTGCACTGTCAGCACAGAGCCTGACTTGGGGCTCGATCTCATGAACCATGAAATCATGACTTGGGCTGAAATGAAAAGTTGGATGCTCAACCGACTGAGCCACCCAGGTGCCCCTAAATTCTCATTTAAATACATGAAATAAATGTTAGTTATACTTAAAAAATAAAGTTTGGTGAATAGTCCCACAGTCATAATGCCTAGTCTGATTTTGGTTTATGAAGGCTTATTATTTGAGGAAAGTGAGAAAATTTAGACTGACACTATATTGCCTATCTTTGCAAAATGGTAGAATAGGTAAATTGATGTTGTTCTTGAGATAGAACACAATGATAGTCCAGACCTTTGTATGCTATTGGAAAAACTTACTGAAGAGTAATGCTGCCTGACTTTTTTTCTTTTTAATGGTTGTTTATTTTGAGAGAGAGAGAATACATGCTCATGAGCAGGGGAGGGGCAGAGAGAGAGAGAATCCCAAGCAGGCTATGCGCTGCCAGCACAGAGCCCAACACAGGGCTTGATCCCACAACCATGGGATCATGACCTGAGCTGAAATCCAGAGTCGGACGCTCAACTTACCCAGCCATCCAGGTGTCCCAATGCTGCTTGACTTTTTAATTTTGTGTGCCATGAATACATGAAGAGTTCCTTAAACATAATCCCTGATGTATTTAAAAAAAAAAAAAAAGTAGTAAATTTCAAATACTTCTGAAATAAGATGTAATTAAAATCTTGAAGTTATTATTTAACATGCTGAATGGTTTTCTGTTTGCCTCTCTATATCTGTTTTCTACCCTTGTTCATCCTTTTCTTTGCCCCAGGGATCTGACCTGTCTGGACAGCCTCCAGGGCTTCTTTGCCCTCTAGTCCTGGTTGGGTTTGGCCAGTGGTAGCATCAGTAGGAGATCAGAGGAGATAGGAGATAGAGGCTGGGGTTTATTCCCCTGGCTCCCACCCTGCTTGTTGCTCTGGGTGGCTAAAGTCATAGCCCCTGTTGGGTGGTATTCTCCACACACCTTGCTCTCTGGATTCTGGTAACTGTTGCCTCCTTGTTTCTTCAGGCCTAAGTGACTTAACAGCCTTGTGGTTTCCCTGTACTTTCCTTATACCTTTGTAGCAGAGTCCCTAAAACGTCTTTGAGTTAGTTTGATTGTACCAGCTGTTTTCTATTGTACCTTGATTGATACATGTTTCCGTTTTAAAGTTTGTTTTGGGTTTTGTAGTATGTCCTGGTCACTTGTAGTTTTAATTGGGCCTAATTCTTTAACCTTCAACTGTGGCTTTCTGCAGTAGAATCCATTGAGTAAGTTGGCCATGGGCTTCTTTGTGCCTCCTGTTGATAAAATAGTCTTTTGTAGGACCTGGGTCTTGGTGGTGTATATTCCTATAAACTAGTGCTTTTCTTGGGAATTAAATTGCTACTCATTTTATCCTAAGGTCCCAGCCTGGTAGAAACTTCATTCTTCCTTTTGGATGTTGCCCAGTGTTCTCCTTCAGTAACTGGTAACAGTTTTTCACACTGTGTGTTTTCTGGCAGAATTCCTCTCCTGCTATATGCGTAGCCCCTAGACTGTTTTCACCTTTAACGTCTTCTCTGCTCAGGCATGATATGTAATAATTAAGCTTCTCATTGAACCTCTTATCTTTGCAGACAGCCCGAGTCCAGAAAAGGGGTATTTCCTCAAGAGCAGTATTTGGGTGTGATGTATATAATACTAGCTCCTTTAGCGTCCCTTATATCATTTAAGCAGCAACTCCCCACCAAGGAAATGCTAAGCCTCCTAAGGTCTGGAGGCTCTTTGGAGTTTACCTTTTTCTCCTTAATGTTTTTCTGGAGCATGGTGTGGTGGTGGTAAGGATGTTGCTGAAAATAATAATGAGTAACTCTAAAAAGGTGTTTACTATGTGCTACACACTGTTACAAACCCTTTATAAACACACATTCATTTAATCTTCACAGAATAGTATAAGGTAGATGCTGTAATTGATAGATACTCATTTAAAAAGATGTTCATTCACTTATTTTTGAGAGAGAGCACACAAGCACGAGTGTGTGGGAGGCAGTGAGAGAGGTAGAGAGAGAATCCAAAGCAGGTTCCGCTATCACTCAGAGCCAGATGAGTGGCTTGATCTCTTGACATGAGATCGTAACCTGAGCCAAAATCAAGAGTTGAACACTTAACCAACTATACTCATCTTTATAAATCAAAGAACTGGAGTACAGGGAGGTTAAATAACGTGGCAAGGTCATTCATCTAGTCAGAATTGGAGCCAGGTTTTTAATCCAGGCTGTCTGCCTCCAGGGGCAGAGATTTTGTCTGTTCAAATGGCTTTTACAATCCCTGGTGCTTAGAATATTGCTTGGATATGGTAGTGTTTACTAAATATTTAATGAACAAGTGAATAAGCCACTTTGCTGTACTGCACATCCATCCTGGAATGGGATTCTAAATGTGGTTCTAATCTGTTATTTTCTTGGGCTGGAATATAATTTGCTCACTATAAGTGTTGAATTTCCTTTATACTGCAGGCTCTTCTTTTACTGTAGAATAGATGGCAGAGGTGGGGGTGGGCCAGCACTGACCTTAGTCCCTGTGAGGAGAACTGCATGTGCCTCCTGTGGTCAGTTCTGTCTCTTAGTCTGATAGAGATGGAGGACCTGCATGTTTACCAAGTACTGGGTGGTGGATGTTCCACCCACCCAGGTACTAGAGCTTGTTGAGGCATTTGGTAAAAACGTAATGCTTCTTACCTAGTCTATGAACTCTGACTTTAATGATTTTTTTTCCTGAAAACTTGAACAGACACAGTGGTAATGGATAGTAATGAATTTTTTGTGTAAATGAATATGGACTAACTGGGTTTGTCTATGGACCTTTTCTTTAAGTGTAGTTGTTTGAATTCAAGAGAAGACATCTGATCACATGTGTCTATGGGTACAATTTTATATTAACAGTATAAAGAGGGAAATGAGAGGAAACTTGTACTTGAATTTCCAGCTCTTGGGTAGAAGGAGTGCTATAGATTACTTAGAAGTAAGCTTTTATTTTTTGGTCACTGCATGTGATGCATGTGATGGTTAGTTGAAATCACGTTGAAAGCAGTCATTTCTTCTTCATGTTTTCTGTTTGCTCCTGAGTGTGCTTGAAACACAATTGGATTGATAAAGTTTGGGAAAAATTGGCTAAAGTAGACCAAGGGACTCTGATTTCATAGGTAATCTATTATATTCCTTAATAGCTCATTTTTTTTCACCAATCCAGATTACTTATCACTGTTACATATTTTGAAAATGATACTTAAGATTATTATTCTTATAATAGTAAATAGTGCTGCCTTGTGATAGTGCCCATTTTCCTGTGTTTACTTAACAAAATCTAGTTTCTTTGTACTAAGACAAAAGTAGTTCTTGAGAGAAAGCTGAACACTTTAGCAGTTAGGACAAATGATGATATATAGTTGTCATTTTCATCATAGGTTAAAATATATCCCCCTTACTTGGTAAATAGAAATCTCTCAGGCATAAACTGTGATGAGGACAAGACGTGTAGAAAATGCCACACACAACATGTGCATCAGCTGCTTAAGTATAATGGTTACCCTTGCCCCTTGTCATAGCTTGAATCTTGAGGTGATCATCAGTTCTCTAAATCCATGGCGTCCTGTTTCTGAATATTGTACCTACTCTAGTCTTTAGAAAGGTAGAAGTTCTCATACCAGGCCAGGCAGGGGCTTTAGGAAAGTCAAGTGTTGAATAGTAATTCTGGCATCTATTAACTTTAGGTCACCACAAGTGTCTTTGGTAACCTTTGTAAGAGACTGTACTGATCTAGGTTATAAATACTTAGGGAAGAATTCCAAAGCTAATTGCAAAGCATTTTATAAAACAGAGGACGATATAAGTACTTAGATGCAAATGCCTCCCTAGAAGACTTCAGAGTCTCTGAGGTTGTGGTGATGGCCAGGCATTTAGAAAATGCCACACAGAATGTACCCACCATCTGTTTTAACTTAATGGTTAGCCTTAGCCCCCTGTCATTGCTTGAATCTTGAAATGATCACTGATTCTCTAATAAATCCATAGGGTCCTGTTTCTGAGTATGTTGCCTAATGTACTATGCTACAGGGCATTTGGAGTGCTGTGAGCTATTACTTGCAATTCAGATTCCAAATGAGAAAAGAACTCTAGGAAGAAAAGTAAGCTGTCATATTATACAAGGTTTGAGTAAAGATGCAAACCTAAAATAGATAGTGAAATGAAGTATCAGAAGAAAGAAACCACTTAGATGTCTCTAATGCTTAATTAGGAACTCCTCTAAAAAGATGAGCCATTAAATGGCTAAATCAGACTTCAAAGTGAGTTATTGACTTTGGCCTTTCTTAGTTAATTTTCTCTTACTGTTTACACATGTAATACTCTTTTAAAACATTTAAATTTGTACTGTAGGGTTTAGTTGGTGTAATTAACATTAGAATTCTATTCACAGGTAAAATAGAACAGATCAGGTGGTCAGTTAGTGTTAGCACTTCTAATTCTCTTTTGTGGTGGTAATACATACTTACTAAAGACTTAAGTCTCTCCCTCTCCTCCTGAGCACTTTGAGTAATAATGGGATACCAGAAATATCCTCTTCCTATCTTGCTTATTTGTCACTTATTTGGTATCACTTATTTGTCACTTAGTATTTCCACTCAACCTAATAGATGCCAGTAGTAAGAACCATGCTAGGAATCTCAAGTTTTTTTAAACTGTGGATTATAATTATGGCGTAGAGGAAATTGAAAAGGACAGTTTCACTTAAGACTGCATGTGTATAAAGTATTACAATAAAATGGAAACCTTTTGAGAAAAAGAGTGTGTGAGTAGAGGAGAGGGGCAGAGTGAGAAAGAGAATCTCAAGCAAGTTGCACACTCAGTACAGAATCTGATGCGGGTCTGAATCCCAGGACTCTGGGATCATGACCTGAGCTGAAATCAAGAGTAGAATGTTCTCAAATGACTGAGCCACCCAGATGCCCCAGACAATCAAATAAAAACCTTTCGAATTAAAGTCATGGAGCACATGAGTCTCAACTTTATGCCTTAATGACCTATGTCCTAAGGCCATCTTTGGGATGGGGAGTGGGGTGGGGGAGTTGTGTACTTAAGAGAACAGCTTGGCGCATCCTCACCTAGTTGGTTTGCATAGTTCATGTACATCTGTGGTGTCCCAACCCAAATTAACAAAACTCTTATAATGAACTTTTGTGACTTAATGACAAGTACTCAAACTAAATCTTACCCTATTTAAATGTGTATTTGAATGATTTTTCTAATTTGGTTGGAATAGGTACATACAACTTTATGTAGTTGTGATGAAGGTGCCTAGTCAATTTTGTGCTTTGATTTTTAGTTAGTGCTATGCTAGGTGGCTTACATGCATTATCCCATTTGATCCTCAGGACAGTTAGAAGACAAATATATTATGTTCCTGTTTTACAGAAGGTGAAACTGAGTATCGGGATTTTATTTTATTCTATTTTTAAAGATTTTTATTTTTAAGTAATCTCTACACCCACCATGGGGCTTGAACTTAGAACCTAGAGATCAAGAGAGTCTCATGTTCTAATGACAGAGCCAGGCAGGTGTCCTCAGGATGGGAATTTTAAATAAGATCACAATAGCCAGGTAAAAGTAGAGCTGGAGATTCAAATTCAGAAGTGTCTGGTTTGGAAAAGTTTGAACTCTATGTACTGACCCAGGCTGCCTCCTTTGTTATGAAGCTAAACTGTTAATGAAAGTATTGTGTCTAATTAGTAGAAATTCTTAACTTTTCAGCATTTACTGACAAGTTTTTTTATGATTACAACCCATATAAAGACTGCTCCAATTTCTTGTTTTCCTCTTATAGGAACTGAAAGATGTGGGCCATCGTGATCAGATGGCTGCAGCCAGAGGAATCCTGCAGAAAAATGTTCCGATCCTCTATACTGCGTCCCAGGCATGCCTCCAGCACCCTGATGTTGCAGCCTATAAGGCTAACAGAGACCTGATATATAAGCAGCTGCAGCAGGCGGTCACAGGCATTTCCAATGCAGCCCAGGCCACTGCATCAGACGATGCTTCCCAGCACCAGGGTGGAGGAGGAGGAGAACTGGCTTATGCGCTCAATAACTTTGATGTAAGTTACACTTGGGAAGAAACATCAGGTTCTCCACCATCTATCCAAAGTTAAGAGACTTCTAGGGAAATGTGATCAAGGTTTCTGATGAAAGTTCAATTTCTACTTAGATTTGTAATCTATGTCAAAAGAAATTTTAGAAATCTTCAGTCAGTTTGATCTGACTTGGCCTACAACGTTTTTCTTGTTCTTTTTCTTTTGTGTTAAAGTTATGAATTCTTTTATGTAACTTATGTGTCCTATCCGATCATTCTCTGTTGAAGATAGGAGTTTGGTTGATTTCACCCAAGATTTTAACCTTTTGGTAGATGAAAGCTCTCTGAGATACAGAGGCAAAGTGTATGTAGACTCTCCCGTCCTGGAGCCCACAGATACATCATAAGTGATTACCACAGAGTATCTTCAATGTTGTCCTTACTTGTGTGCCTAGATGATATACTTCTCAATAATCACAAAATTTAATCAAGTAGAAGGAAATTTGGGCCTAAAATACTTTCTTAGCATAATTCCATATAATTATCTTTTATGGTTGGTGCCATGGGTCTGTTCTTTGTATGCATTCTGTGTGCACACTGTTCTGTGTATCAACTCTAACCTTAATTCTTTTGGTGGGTTTTGTGTTTTTTTCAAAAACTTCAACCCACGATGCCTCATGGCTTCCAGTAGATGGCAGCAGTTTAAGATTTTTTTTAAGGTTTTTTTTT